TAAATATTGTAGATAAGGTAAGGGAAGCAATCAAATAATCAATCAAACTTGATAGGGGCATAAAATTGGGGAATTAGGCCCATAAATAACTCTGATTGAATTTTAAATAATACAAGAAGTAGGTTTAACAGCCAATTAGGGTTAGAACTCATAAATCAAGCAATCAATCACACGAATAAGGCAATTAGAGGTAATTAGAGACCAATCAAGGGTCAATCAACCCATAAATAGGCAAGAGACGCCAATTAGGAACCTCTGGGTTAAGGAAAGCAAGTAGAAATCAGTAAATTATTCCAGTAAACAATAAAACCCTAAATAATTTAGCTAATCAGTCAATTATTCAAACAATAACGGACAAAATTGTTGAAATCAAACAATGAACAGTCAAGCAATCAAGCGAACATAGTCATTATAGAAAGATTAAACAAACATGAGAAATTTCAGAAAACCCTTTGCAAAAATAGACGAAGCAGAAACCCTAATTTTGAAAAATACTTAGAGTTGATTAACAGTAGGGAATCAGAAAATCATTAAGGAAAACGGTCATGGAAACTTGAAAACACTTCAGATACACAGAGATTCGACCAACAACTAACGAGAAAACCAAACCATAATATAATAAAGTGTTTAAAAATCGATTAATAGTAAAGAAATAAGAGGACTTTTAAAGAAAAGTTGTTGATGGACTTAGAATCGCTTTAGATCTACAAAGATCTGGATGGATTCATGTTCAAATTAGGGTTTTGAAGAAAAAGGAAAGGGGTAAAGATAATCTAGCCTTGAACTAGAGATTTGAACCACAAACGTCGAGATAGTAACACTCACAGACCATAGGCGGACCCTCGAAGAGTCTTGAACAAGATCTTGCTAGATTTCTTCGAGATCTTTCTATGAAATAACAAAATCGGGCAACCAGGTGAAGTAGGAGACCAGTAGAAGTCTCAAACAGCCATAGAAATCCATGGAACGGGTAGGAATCGAAGACATTAGGTCTAGTTTTGGGTGGCGGCGGCTAGGGTTAGGGGTTGAGTTGAGAGAGAATTGAAGAGGAGGTAACGAAGGCGGCGGAGTATGATGAAAAATGGGCTAGGTTAGAGGGGGGTCGTTTGAGATTATTATGGTAAGAAAGAATAAGGGTCGTTGATCTCAGAGATCAACGGTCAGGATTAGAATGGGGGTCTGGGTCGGGTCAGGTTTAATTGGTTTGGGCTGGGTGGATTTGGTCCGGTTTTAATTGAATTGGGATTGGGATTGGGGGGTCTGATTCTAGGTGTAAATTAGGGGCTGTTATTTAAATACCTATTTTACTAATTAAAATAATTTTAAAAATAGCTAATGCAATGATAAAAAATGATTTTCAAGCATGAAGGTGATCTAAAATAATTATTCAATATTATAAAAATATGAAAAATTATTTTCTGTATAGATAATGTAGTTACGCATATGCAGGGGCTATTTTTGCAAAATATGCAATTATAGTCTTAAACAGGTAAATATAATTATAAAAAAATACAATTAAAATATTTGAACAATCATATGAACATAAATGATGAATTTAGATGATTAAATCGTCATGAAATAATATGAGGGATAGTTTTGAACATTTATGTAACTAAAAATGCAGAAATAAATGGATTTGGGCTCTTCAAAATTTTGTAGAAAAAATTGTACAACACTTGTGCATGTTTGTAATTGTAAGCACAATATTTTGAAAGTATGCATGCACATTTTAAAAATATATGAGGAAAAAATTAGGTATCAACACGGGGTGGTTCCGGCGTGGTCGGTTCTGTTTTCATGAGAGGATGTCCGGTGTTCCCTGGGTGAATCCCAGTTTTGCTTAACTTTGTTTGCATTGGAGGACATTATGTGTTTTCTGGGTGAGTCCCAGTTTTGCTTAACTTCGTTTGCATTGGAGGACATTATGCATTTACTGGGTGAGTCCCAGTTTTGCTTAACTTCGCTTGCGTTGGAGAATACTCTGGTGGAGAATGCGAAATGTTGCTTTATTTCATTCACTGGAGAATGTTGTACATGCTCGTTTCATACATATATTGGAGGAGTTTTCATGTATCTAGTCCCTTCATCGTTCGGCCTGGAGAAGCAATCGGCAGGAGGGGCGATGAATTATACTTTGAACTTCAAGACGTCATGTTCGTCGCCTCGCCAAAAAGGGCATGACTCGAGGGGCGTCCTCTTCCGGAAGTCGAAGTATTTGATGTGGGTGATATTCCAATTGTTTTGTAGTAGTTTTCTTTCCATTATTTCTAGTTGAAATGCTCCTTTGCTTGCTTGCCCGCGCGAGCGCTTGCATTCACCTATTTGAACCGATAAAGGAGTGAAGATAAAGCAGAATGAAATTTTCTGTTACCTCGGCCTAACGACTCGGTGAAAGAAAAATTGACGTTGTAGTGTTTCTCGCTCCGCCTGGTGCTCGGATGGCGTTTTCAGATTTGGCGGCCGTGTTCGGCTCTGTGTTACCAGCGCCTAGGTTTCACATGGGTTGGATCCGCCGCATTCGCTGATGGGATGAAATCGAGTCCTAGCCCGATCTCATCCGATTTGTGCCAATAACAAGAGAAACATGTCATACTTCGTTTATAGATCATCTACTAAGTGTGGGAATGTGAAAATAGGGTAAGGTGTGCCCTTTCTTTCAGAAGACCGCGCAGCAAGTTGCTGTCCCTTCACGAGGGATGGGAGTACGGGCCCATATGTAGGGTGAAAATAGGGTCGTGGTTACGCTAGGTGACCGGGATCCTATTTTGAACGTGCGTTCGTTGTGTCAAACCTATTATTACGGGCAAGAGATGGATTTTGCGTAGATATTGGTTATAACTTCTATTTTCGGTAGCGTATTGACCTATATTGGTACGGTTATCTCGAAGGCTCACCTACCGCTCTTTTGAGTGGGTAGTAGCGTCGAGAAGGTGAGGTCATGACAGCTCGGTAGCGATATTCCGCTGATTATGGATCTAAAGGAAACTAACAAATTTAGCTAAAAAATCCCCACAGACGGCGCCAAATTATTTGACAAAAAAGTATTAAACTTTTTGTTAAACTAATTAATGAATGGAATAGAGGATAAATCTTAGTCAAAAGTAATTAACTCTAGATCGCGACATAGTGAGTATGAAAATCGGGAGAGAATGAACTGATTTAATATTTCTTGAGATAGCTATCTTACATAATGAGAACGATAAGCTTACATTCGTGAATGGCTTAGGTTACAATGGCGTCTGAGCAAAAAGTGTAAAACCCTTTTTGTCGAACTAATTAATAGTAATATACAAGGTAAATCTTAGTCAAACATAATTAATCCCAGATCTGGACGTACAGAGTGCGAAAGTAGAGGAAGAATAAGAGCATGTAATATTTCTTAATGTAATAAACTGTACATCAAACATGGGGGATGAGCTTACATTTGTGACAGATTTGCACCATAATCGTGGGGGCAAGGAAGGGGAAGAAAATGAACTGTTGACAACGAAGAAGTTTCTCTTGTTGATTACCATAGTGGCTGCTTGGAGAAAAAAAAAATCCCCCCTTCTCTGGGTTCAGCCCCTCCTATATATATTAAATTTTCCTTTTGTCCAATGGTTTTTGACCGGCGTACTTTCTGACGACTGTACACTTCATTGTTCACTTGATCATAACGTTGCCCTATGTCGTAAACCTTTCGACATTTTGGGACCGGCGATGGCCGAGGTGCTCTTTGCTGCCTCGCTCCGCGGACATGATTACGGCTTGGTCGACCCCTTATCACTCCACTTAAGGACGACCATTCCCAGTCAGATTTTGACCCATACGGTAATTATTACTAGATCTTTATAATAAGTACAATAATAATATAAAATTGATAATTAGCATATTATAATGAGTATAGATATATGAATCTTGTAAGAAATATAAGACGCTTCAAAAAATTAATAGCAAATAAAATATATATAATTTTATGCACATTTTGGCGAATGTAGTTAGTTGGGCTGAACGATCAACGCTATTGTAATAGTATATATAACTAAATCATACACGTACGATTAGTGTCTACATATCTTAAAATCTTATATTTATGCCCCTTCTTTTTCAGTGACCAAAGTTCAAAAACAATAATGGCATAATCATTTTTACCTTATGAATTGATGCAAAGGCGACAAACTTTTTCCGCTCCCTCAATCAATCTTTTTGGAGAACTAAGTTTTGTTTCTGTCTTTTAGCCCTTTTTCTCTTTTCTATTAAACAAAGAGCCATCAAAGTAAGTCTAATTCAAAAGCAGAATCATCAAATTCAAAAAAAAAAAAAAAAAAAAAAAAAAAGAATCTCAAAATTATTTTTTGAAAACTACACTTCATGCAAAGCTGTGGCCGCGCAGCAATTCACATACTGATACAGTTATACAATTCTCTTCACTCACCCCTGTGTAAAATACGACAAGCTCCGGTTTGTTACTGTCTCACTGTTGCTACCACTTCTTTTCCATGACTTTTTATTACTAGGAGTATATTTTATTTTTTTACTGATGTGATTACGCTTGAACGAGTCGAGTGTCTATCAGAAACAGTCTCTATACCTACACAAGATAAGGGTAAGGTCTAGGTACACCATGCACAATATTTTTCCCAGACCCCTGAGTATGTTATTGTTGTTTGTTTACTTTCTTCAACAACTATGATCTTTGTAGGATTTTGAAATGGTAAAAACTTATTACTTGTGTACCCAATGTTTACATTAAGTACAAATATCTCTATTTTTCATTCACTGAATTATCACTTAATTAACTATAACTAAATGATATTCATTTTCACTTTAATCTTTAATTAGAAATGTTAAATTATTTAACTTGATATAAACGTCTAATAAAAATAAGTATTTACTACTACCATTTTGACTGGGGGATGGAGAAGTGGTCCACTTGAGTCTATGGCTGACCGACTTTAGAGACAAACGCCGTGTGAGATAAGGAATATATAATAGAGAAAAAGGAGAGAGAAGAAGAGAAAATATTCTTTCTTTTGGTAGCTGCCATAGTATTATAAGGTAGTAATAGTAGTTTTGTGCTACTAAAATCAAACACAAAGTGAGAGGGAGAGGAAAATCTCTATAACAACAAAGAAGTATTAGAAGAAGATGGAATAAAGCAGTAGTTATAACAACTATTGTTTGTTCTTATTTTAACTTTTACTTTCTGCTGAGAAACAAAACCTTGTACACTGTGTAATCTTGGGATTTATCTGTTTTCAGCAAATCTTTTGGTTTCTCCTGAAGTTGAGCTGGTTTTTTTGTTCCTTTTCTCTACTTAGTTTAATTTACTTCAAATTTTGAGCTTCAACAAAATGATGTCTGATAATGGACTTTCTTCTTTACCTTCTTCCATTAGAGGTCTCATTCAACAAGATCCAAACCCTAATAGTAATATTTCAAACCCTAATTCAAATCCGGCTTCTAATAAGAGAAAGCGAAACCTCCCAGGAAATCCTGGTAAGCACTTATATATAGAAAGTTATTAGCTTATGTCTACTTTTCAAGAACAGAGACGGATCCAAAATTTAAATTTAATGTGTACCAGGTTCTGAGTTCTGTGAAAAATATGAGCTCAAAACTGAATATTTATATTATGTTTCATGATTTTTTACATATATATCTATGGTTATACGAGGAGTTCAGTTGAACCACTCTCAACATTCTAAATCCGCCTCTGAATTCAAGAACATCTTTTATGTTTTCAATATTTTCTTTTCTTGTTTCCTTTTTTCTTTCTCTTGTTCCATCTTCTTGAGTCGTGGGTCTATCGGAAACAGCCTATCTGCCCCATCAAGATAGGGGTAAGGTCTGCGTACACACTACCCTTCCCAAACTCCACTTGTGGGATTTTACTGGGTCGGTCCTTGTTGTTGTTGTTTCTCTTGTTTTGTCATAATCAAATTTTTTTTTTTCTTTTTACTTAAACAGATCCAGATGCAGAAGTGATAGCTCTCTCACCAAAATTTCTGATGGCGACGAATCGATTCATTTGTGAAATCTGCAATAAGGGTTTTCAAAGGGACCAGAATTTGCAACTTCACAGAAGAGGTCACAATTTGCCATGGAAACTCAAACAAAGAACAAACAAAGAAGTGAAGAAGAAAGTTTACATTTGTCCAGAAAAAACTTGTGTACATCATGATCCATCAAGAGCTTTAGGGGATTTAACTGGAATTAAAAAGCATTTTTCAAGAAAACATGGTGAGAAGAAATGGAAGTGTGAGAAATGTTCAAAAAAATATGCAGTTCAATCTGATTGGAAAGCTCATAGTAAGATTTGTGGGACTAGAGAGTATAAATGTGACTGTGGCACACTTTTTTCCAGGTAACTCGTGACTTTATTATTAATGAAGATATATCTGAATTGAATAAATCAAATGTCTTTATCATCATTTAGTTTCTTTACTGGAGAATCTATTAGAGAATGTAGTGAGTACCTATGATTAGTTTGCTGAGGAAATAAATGCTTTTAACTCCATGTGAATTTAATTCAATGTACCGGTATCACGAGCAGATTCAATTGAACCCATTATTTTTAGCATTGACCATAAATATATATACACATGAGGAATCTTGAAAATATAAATACTAAATTTTGAATCAATACTCACTAAAAAAATAGAATTAGCTACGAACTTTGTCGCCAATCAATTGCTAAATCGCTCGCACCTAACATAATTTCTTGATGATCTGTCCCTAAATCGGATTAGCGACAAATTTTTCTATTTAGCTACCGAATTTGTCCGTCGCTAATTCCTGTTTTTTAGTAGTGATATATTTTCAGAGAATTCAGACCTTGAATGCATTGGATTTAAATCTTGAATTCTTCTTTGACCTTTTTTTAAATGTTTTTTCTTGAAAATGAAACAGAAAGGACAGCTTTATAACACACAGGGCTTTCTGCGATGCATTAGCTGAAGAAAGTGCAAGGTTTACATCAGATCCAAATACAGCAAATCTTAACTTGAGAAATCAATTGATGAATGGTGGGATGACTAATCAGCAGCAGCAAAGAGGAATAAATTCTCAATTTGGTTCTTTATTTAGGCCTGAATTAATGGGATTAGGATTAGACCCTTCAAGTCAACTTAATCTTGATGGACAAAAACCAAGGCTCCCACTTTGGCTTGACAATGCAAATTCAGGTAACTATTCTGAAGTCAGTATTTTCAACACGAAATATAATAAAGTCAATGATTTCGGTCTAATAAGTACATTAAAATGCTGAATCCGCGTCTGCAGGTAGTCCAAATGACTTTTTGGCAACACCATCAAGCACAACAAGTAGTTTGCCTCATGATTTAGTTCAAATGGCATCACATAGCAGCAATAACCAATGGTTCATCAATGGCAATGGTCCTTCCTCTTCGTCGATGGCATCGCCACGAGTAGTGCTAAAGGAGGAAGAAGAGATTAATAACAGAAGAAATTTATCTGGGAGTACTATTAATAGTTCAATGTATTACAATAATAGCCAACAAGAAACAACTCCTCCTCAAGCAGCTCATATGTCAGCAACAGCACTTTTGCAAAAAGCAGCCCAAATGGGATCAACAAGGAGCAGCAATTCAGCACTCTTTAACAGTACTGGATTTGGGCTAATGGGGTCATCTAATTTTGGTTCAACTTTAGCTACTCATGACAATATTCAAGGAAATAATGGCCTGTTATTAGTGGACACAAATGCAAATTCTTTGATGATGATGCAAAATAAAGGAAAGCAAGTAAATATTCCTAGTGGAAATACAACTGAAGGCAGTTTAACAAGAGATTTTCTTGGTGTAGGAGGGAATGAAAACAGGCCTTTTTTGCAACAAAGAGAACTGGCCAAGTTTGGTAATTCTGCTATTTTTTAGTAGGTGACTAGAAATTCTTTTTTTCCTTTAATTGGAATCGTACGATGTGCTGATGAAGAAAGCAGAAATATTTAGAGATCTTGTGAATTGTGGGGGCCACTGGAAGAGACTTGACAAAAAGTGACATGGCAATCACAAGGCAGGCTTTTTCCTACATTGTATTATTTGCTGCATGTAAAAAGATTTTTACCTTTTATTATTTTAACTTTTTAAATGTTATTTTATGCTCCTCGTGTTTTATGGACCACGAACTGTGAACCTGTGACTATATTTGTTGTCACCGCCATAGTGATAAAAACTTAGATTTCTGAAAAAGTTTATTGGTATTTTGTTTGTAATTTTTTGAAAATTTTATTTTCTTAATTTTCTCACGTAGATGTCCATTCACCTGATACGTACAATGAAAGACGGTTGTCAATAGCGTGGCATATCTTAGTTTGGACTATTAGTTGATGAGATGTTCTTAGTCTTTCACGAGTAGAGGTGGATCTATAATTTTATATTTACGAATTCTAGAACGGGACTACTTATTGGTTCGGAATAGATAATTCATGTACATTAAATAAAAAATTTAATAAAAATAGCCAAATTGTGCCAAAGATAATGAGAATTGTGCAAAACCCATAATATGTGTTGTAGCTCCGCCTATGTCCACGAGTCTCCCAAGATTATTAAATCTGGCCTGGAAGTTTTGGATAAGTTTTTATGAATTTCTAAGCAAGAATTAGCATAAATCTTTGGTTCTACCATTGTTATTTCGATCGACGTGTATCAAACATTTAGATGTGGTATTTACTTAAATCTTAGTTTAAGGGTGTAAAAAATGTTTACAATTTCAGGACACTTATAAAGTAATTATGAGTATAACTCGATGCTAAATATTACTCAATAGCTAACCTGATAAAATAATAACTAATTGTTATCACATGATAAACTACACTTAGATACATTGTTGATATAAGGCCCTAGTCATTTTAGAATCAAAGCGGCTCTAGTTGTATAAGGTTGCAGCGAGCGTTAATGCGGTGTTCTCTTTTCTCATCATCAAATTTAATTTCAAGAATTTCATTATTGCTTTTCTTGATTTTCATAGTCCGTGTGTGCTTTGATTTTCAAGCTTCAAGGGTAAGATTGTCATAATAACTTACGTTCATCTTTAGGAGTGAAAAACTCTGAGTGAACAAGGTTAAATCAGATCTCTTACTCTCCCAGGAAACACTTACCCGTAGTCAGTGTCGGAGCCACCTTATGCTAAAGGATATCAATTGACGTCATTTTGTCGAAAAATTAGTGATTTTTTTTTTTTTTACTTTTTTATAATTTGATACCTTTTAGTAAAATTCTTGATTCCGCCACTACCCGTACTCTCTCTCACACACAAACCAGGGGTGGAGCCACAATGTTAGTTGCGGGTTCGCCGAATCAAATAGCTTTTGTTAAAACCTTGTATTTGTATTCAGAAGTCTAATGAATATGTAAAAATTATTAATTTAAAACCAATAACATAAAAGAATTAAAATTCCGAACTTATAATATTCAAATCCTAGCTCGGCCTCTAACACAAACACACATAAGGTACATGGCCAAACTTGTCCACTTGCTGAGTGGCTTGTATTTAGTTTTGGCAGCACTCGGAGAGAAAGAGATGCCTAAAATGATTCCAGCTCTTTCCAAGCTCACTCAAGCTTAATGAACAAAACGACAAGTTTCAAGCTCAAGTTTTAAAATTTTAAACTTTATATTGTTGTTGTTTAATCAAATCAGATCCTGGTTTTCTATGTAATCAGACCATTTATCAATCCTTATCTCACAATAATGAAGAATGAGAAGTAGCTGTCAAATCCTCCATGTCATAAAACTGCCAAAGTTGCCCTCCACAAAGTCTCTCTATTTCAACGATATACTAATTGATTTCCATACACTTACTAATAAAATGCAGTTTATGTTTTGTGCATTGCGAGTGTATATTTTTATATTATTAGGTTTACTTTACTAACAATAATAGGTAAATCTTCATAAAAAATCGGATATGATAATTTGAAAAATAGAAAGTAATCTGAGTTAAATTGATCTGATGGTAAGACTTTGTTACGCTTTCAGAATAGATAACTTAAATCCAATAAAAAACTAAAGGTATAACAACATTTCGATAGGAAGTTAAACTTTCTTGGGTTAAGCTTGAATAGTTGAGCTGGTTCAAATATTCTGAGCTTATTTTGGGGAGCTAAGACGAACGTTACGTACATAAAATCATGCATGAAGTTAACTAAATTGGAAAATACTAAAAGGGACAAAAAATAGTAAAAAAGCAGACAGAAGAACATCTAGTAGACCGTACTATAACACATTTACATAGACCTATGCCCTAAGTTTACTCAACTACTCCAGAGTCCTAAGTTTGTGTCACGATTCGGATTTTCCACCTTCGGGAGTCGTGATGGCGCCTACTAATGCGAGCTAGGCAAGCCAATTACTGAACAGATTACCTTTATCCATTTTTATACCTTTTTAGCATTTATAAAGCAATAATGTGAAAACAGCGGAAATTTAAATAAGCGGAAGAAATGTAGTGAAATATCTGAAATGAGAATCTAATACAACTGTTTAAGCCTTAATCACCCAGAACTGGTGTCACAGTACCACAGACGATCTAAGAGTGCTAAATACAAAGTCTGAAAATAAAAGATACACTGTTTCTGAATAAAAGAAATGAAACAGGAAGTAAAGGATAGAGGAGACGCCAGGGCCTGCGGACGTCTGCAGGTCTACCTTGGATCTCCGCGTTGACTGAAGGTAGCCACCCAATCTACGGTCCAAAGGCTGCTCCGGGATCTACACATAGTGCAGAGTGTAGTATCAGCACAACCGACCCCATGTATTGGTAAGTGCCTAGCCTAACCTCGGCGAAATAGTGACGAGGCTAGGACCAGACTACCAAACAAACCTGTGCAATTCAACTATATACAACGGAAAAGAGGTACAGAATTAAACGGTCAAGTATGGGAGGGGTAGCATGCTGCGGGGGAGATATCAATTCAGAATAGAAAGACAACAGGTAAATGGAAGAAACAATATATCTTGGATATCAACAGAGAACCAGAAAATAATAAGCGCACGGCATCACCCTTCGTGCTTTTACACTCGTCCTCACCAAAGCAATCAAGTAATGAAAATGTGCACGGCATCACCCTTCGTGCTTTTACTCTCGTCCTCACCATATAATCAATATAATCGGCACGGAATGGTACTTCGTGCGGCACGACATCACCCTTCGTGCTTTACACTCTTTCCTCACAAAATCATACACGGCATCACCCTTTGTGCTGTAACACTCCCTTACCAAAATAATGCACGGCATCACCCTTCGTGATTTAACTCTCTTCCTCACCCAAACAACAATTACAAACAATAAGGCAAGGAAATGAATGATATTTGCAATAAGAATCCCGGCAGGGGAACAATAATTCAACAACAAGTCCCGGCAAGGGACAACCTCAAAACAACAACAATATCCCGGCAAGGAAGTCAATATAATGATTCTTTTCTCTTCTTTCACCTTTGTTTCACAATTCACTTCACAACTCGAGCCAATGCTCCAAAAGGTTTCAATTACCGCTCATACTTTCACAATTCGTTATACAACTTGAGCCAACGCTCCTCAATAATCAAACATCACAATTACTTCCACGAACCTTGCCCAACAAATAAAAATCATCACCAAGATATGAATAATACGACGAAGTCATAAAAATCACATTAAGAGACTCACGGGCATGCTAGACACCAACGTATAGATACTCGTCACCGTGCCTATACGTCGTACTCAACAATTACCACATAGCAAATAGGACTCGACTCCTAATCCCTCAAGCTAAGGTTAGATCAAACACTTACCTCAATGCAACGAACACAATTCATGTCTCAATTATCGCTTTACCCCTTGATTCCACCACCAATTCGCTCGTATCTAGCCATAAGTTACTTAATTACACAATAAACGCTAAATGAATCAATTCTAATGAATGAAAATGAGTTTCCTAAAGTTTTACGCAAAAAGTCAAAAATTGCCCCGGGCCCACATAGTCAAAACCCGAGGTTCGAACCAAAACCCGATTACCCATTCCCCCACGAACTCAAATATATAATTTATTTTGAAATCGGACCTCAAATCGAGGTCCAAATCCCTATTTTTTTGAAAAACCTAGGTTCTACCCGTTTTCCCCATGAAAATCATTGATTTTAAGTTAAAATCATGTTAAAAGATGTTAATGATTGAAGGAAACAAGTTAAAATTGACTTACAATTGATTTGGAGAAGAAGTTGCCTTTGAAGAATCGCCCTAGAGTGTTTATGTTTTAAGAAGATGTGAAAAATGGTTAAAAATTCGTCTAGGTATGGATTTTACAGGTCTCTAATGTCGCAATTGCGACCAGGGTTCGCAATTGCGAACCCAGACTCTGCTATTGTCGCATTTGCGAAGAAAAATGTCGCATTTGCGACACAGCCAGCTTTCAGGTCTTCTTCGCATTTGCGATAGACCTGTCGCAAATGCGAAGTCGCATTTGCAATGGATGAGTCGAATTTGCGATGACTGGCCAAAGAGGGGAAGCATCGCATTTGCGATGAATTCCTCGCATTTGCGAGTTTGGCTGGCCTGGGATATGTTCGCATTTGCGACACAGCCTTCGCATTTGCGATCTCGCAATTGCGAGCCAGGCTTCGCAAATACGAAGCCTGCAGGCCTGCAATAGAACAGCTGAAGCCTGCAATTTCCCAAGTCCGATTCTACTCTGTGGCCTATCCAAAACTTACCCGAGCCCTCAGGGCTCCAAACCAAACATGTACACTAACCCAAAAACATCATACGAACTCGCTCGTGTATTCAAATAACCAAAATAACATCAACAACTATGAATTTAGCATCAAAATCATGAAATTTTCTTAAGAACTTCAAATTTCCAATTTTTCTCAAAAACGATCCGATTTACGTCGTTTCAAGTCCGTTTCTTACCAAATTTCACAGGTTCAACTTAAATCACATATAAGACCTATACCGGGCTCCGGAACCAAGATACAAAAATTCATTTCTCGGGCTAGGGACCTCGGAATTCGATTCCAGGCCCATATTTTCTTACGGACCTCCCGGGATCGTTGGAACACGGATCCGGGTCCATTTACTAAAAATGTTGACCGAAGTCA